AGGAGTACAGTCCGTGAAAGCTACCTGTCGGAATTATGGCATCACCGTTATAAACGGGTAAGGTCACGGCAAGACTAGCCGTTAAATAGGCATTAAGTGTAAGTGTAGTAATACATTAAGCTGAAATGTACTAATAGACCGAGGGTTTGAATCATTTATTCATTTTTACTTATGATTTTAACAAGAAACAAAGAAACAATATAGAATTTATAGCATAAAATTATACCTTGGTGCTCATAGCGTAGTGGAACCACTCTGATTCCATTCCGAACTCGGCTGTGAAACGCTACAGCGGCAACGATACTAAAGGGGAAGCCCTTTGGGAAAATAGCTCAGCACCAAGGTTTTATTCTTTATAAAAAAAAATCTTTTTGAAACTAATATATCGTAAAATATTTTCATTTTCTTTTAAATATTTTTCAAATACTTCTATGACCTATGCAATAATTGAAAATAGTGGAAAACAATTCTTTACACAACCAGGTAAATTTATTGATATAAACCATATCAAAGCAAAAGTTGGAGATATAATCTATTTTAATCGTGTGTTATTATTAAAAAGTAATAATGTAGTGGAAATAGGATATCCATTTATAAACCAAATAAAAGTAAAAGCAAAAATTTTAAAACATTTTAAAGATAAAAAAATTAGAGTGTATAAAATGAATGCAAAAAAAGGAACCAGAAAAACAAAAGGGTATCGAAGCTTATGTACAAGAGTATTAATAGAATCTATAGAAAATACAGAAAATATTCTAAAATAACATAATAAAAGAGAAAATCATATGGCTCATAAAAAGGGTAGTGGCAGTACCAAAAATGGAAGAGATTCAAATTCAAAAAGATTAGGTATAAAAAAATTTGGTAATGAATTAGTATCTTCAGGAAACATTATTGTTAGACAAAGAGGAATGAAATTTAAACCCGGTAATAATGTAGCTTTAGGTAAAGATTACACTATTTTTTCTTTAATAACTGGTAAAGTATCTTTTAATAAAAAATATAAAAATTACACGATTGTGAACGTACAATCACTTGAATAAGTAAAGTTAAATAATTAATAAATTATATTTATATTTTTTATATAAATCATGAAATTAACAAGAAAGAAAAGTATTCTTTTATTGGAAGATGGAACCATCTTTAAAGGCTGGTCCTATAATCAAAATTTTACATGTTTTGGAGAAGTTGTATTTAATACAGGAATGACTGGATATCAGGAAATTATTACTGATCCAAGTTACTATGGTCAAATTACAATATTAACTTATCCCGAAATAGGTAATACAGGGTTTAACATAGAAGATAATGAATCAAAGGATATAAAAAGTTATGCTTTAATCGTAAAAAATTTTTGTTTATTCTCTTCCAATTGGAGAATGCAAACATCTATGTTAGACTATATAAATCATCTGAAATTACCAGTTATATTTGGATTTGATACAAGATCATTAGCTAAATATATTAGATCAAAAGGATCAATGAACGGCTGTATATCAAATGAAGAATTTAAGATATCATCCTTAGCTAATAAACTAAAACAAAAACCTAAAATGAAAGGTTTAAATTTAATTCAATATTTAGATAATACTAAAAATTATAAATGGGCTAATTTGGGAGAGACCTTATTAAATAGTCATAGATTATATTATTATGCGAATAATGAAAATACAAATGTAAACATAGAAAAGAAAAAAAACAAATATAATTGTCTGAAAATTTGTGTTATAGATTTAGGTACTAAATTTAATATTTTAAGAAACTTTAATAAAAAAGATTGTTTTGTTAAAGTATTTAAAAATAATATAAAGATTGAAGATATAAAAGATGAAAATCCAGATGGCATAGTATTATCTAATGGCCCTGGTGACCCGTTAGCGTTAAATGATGAAATTCAATTAGTAAAAGAAATAATAAAACTAAATAAGCCAATTCTTGGTATATGTATGGGGCATCAGTTATTAAATATCGCATTTGGTTGCCAAACATTTAAAATGAAATTTGGACACAGAGCAATTAATCATCCTTGTGGTTTATATTTAAAAGCAAAAATAACAAGTCAAAATCACGGATTTTCAGTTGATGAAATTTCTATAGACAAAAATTTCATATATATAAACAACTGGAATTTTAATGATAATACCATTGCTGGAATGAGTCATAAAATTTTGCCTATTTTTTCAATTCAATATCATCCCGAAGGAGCACCAGGCCCTCACGATACCGATGATATTTTTATAAAATTTATAAATATTATTCAATTATATAAAAGCAATAATACTATAAGAACAATAGAGCCTATTAAATTTTAAGAAAAAGCTTCATGCTCAAATAACATTTTAAGAATTTGTGTTCCACGAATTTGATTAAATAAGGGTAAATGTCCTAGAGGCGCATTAAGGTTCCAAATAAATTCATCCGGATAACGACACAATTTATTATTATTTTTCCAACCAATATTTTGAAAAAATAAATTCCAATTTTTTGAATTTTTTAACCAAATGTTTTTTTGAATACTAAATCCAAATCTGTTATCAGAATATTTACTCCATAAGCGATCTAAACAAATAAGCTTATCAGAAGGTAAAATCTTAATATCAGTAAAATAAAACCAATATCTTTTATGCAAACTCGGTTTACGAAGACTAAGTAAATAGATGTATGTAAGTTCATTAGCAGCTTTAAAATCTTGTTTAGATAATAGGTCTTCTATTTGTATTAGGCTTACTGAGCTAGAATTAATATGTGTTTCAGATATAGGCATAAAAGTTCGAGATTGTATTATATAAAAAGTTAATTTTTATTTTTTTTTATATACCCTTTAAATAGGGTTAAATAATTTGTAATATTGCAAATTAATAATAAAATAATTAAAATTAATAATGGAATATAAATAATATATTTTATAGGATGAAGCTTGTAAATATTATAATATTTATATATATTATATATATCTTTATATTGTAGTTTACCATTATAAGTGAAAGTAAATAATGTATATTTATTAAAATAACTATATTTAATTATAGATAAGTAATAAGTAAAAAAATCATTTAAAAGTAAATAATAACAAACATTGAATCTATTTTCTTCTCTTGCTAATTTAAATTTATTATTTGTAAAAATAGTATAAAAAAAGAATTTCGAAATATAATCCATTAAATTTAAAATAATAGTTTCTAATAAATAGCTAATTTCTATGTGAGAAAAATCAATTTTTTTTATATAAATATTTATAAAAACAAAAAACTTTTCATTTTCAATAGCAAATTTTTGAGTTAACCACCAAGAACTTACTTGAGCTTTATTAAGCTTATAATCAAGAGTAAATACATTATTAATAACTTTTCTTAAGATCTCAAATAATAAATCATTTAAGTAGTTATTATTATTAATTATTAAATCGTTTGTATGATTTATAACATAATCAAAATTATGAAAAAAGTTTTCAATCTCTGCTAAAAGTAAAATAAAAATACGTCTTCTTATATAAGAAGAAAAAACATTAAATGGTTTAATAAGAAAAGTATTATTATAATATTGTGAATATGATTTAAGATATAAAATAGAAAAAATGTATGCCATTCTAGATGAATACATAGTATTAATAACAATAATATTAATTAAATAATCATAAATAGAAATTAGAAACTTATTTTCACTTTATTAAAATTTATGAAACGTGTAAATAAAAAAGTATATTTAATAGGAGCTGGACCAGGAAAAAATGATTTAATTACAGTCAAGGCTAATGAAATTTTAAAAAACGCTGATGTAATAATTTATGATTCTTTAATTAATCCCTCGCTATTATACGAAATACAAAAATACACATATAATAATAAAAAATACATTAAAGTAAAAAAAAAAGAAATTATAAGTCTTTATCACAAATAAAGATTATAAAACTTATTATATATTATAATAAAAAAAACCTATGCGTAATTAGATTGAAAAGTGGAGATCCACTCTTATTTTCAAGAGGAGGGGAAGAATTAATAGAATTATTAGCCAATGATATTCAAGTTGAAATAATACCAGGTATAACGACTGGAATATCTGCTTATAGTTATAATAAAATTCCACTGTCACATAGAAAATGGAATTCATCAATAACTCTAATAACTGGTGAAATAGCATCTTTAAATAAGATTAAAGAAATTAATTGGCAAAATATAATTATAGGATCGGCCAGTCTAGTTATCTATATGGGAATTCATAATTTGTTTCTAATTATAGATTATTGCAAAATTTATGGAAAAAATAATGAAATTCCTGTAGCTTTAATCCGATGGAATACTTGGGAAGAACAAGAAGAATTAATAGGCACTATAGGTACTATAACTACACAAGTATATGATAAGAAATTTGGTCCCCCAGCTATTATACTAGTTGGTCCTCTAGTCGAAATAAGAACGATCATAAAATATTATTATGCAAAATTTAAATAAAAAATATATGAATACATATTATATATTAATGGCAAATAAACATTTTCTATTCAATTATGAACCAGTAGAAGAAGTTATAAGAGAAAGATATGAGAATTATAAAAATAGAAATTTAAACTTTAAGTTAATAACAGAAGATGATAAAAATTTTTTCAGCTTACGAGAAATAAAAAATATGAAAAAACTCATCCCAAATGAAGCTATAGCTATTATCTCTAATGACTCTGAATTTATTGATTGGTTAAAACTAAGGTTAACTTATGTGATAAAAGATCAGATAGAAACTGAATTATTTCTAATTTGATTAAATATAAACTATCTTTACCTATATGTACTAATATTAAAATTAAAACCATAGAAAAAGTCATACAAAAAACTAAAAAGAGAAAATTTAGAGAATAAATCCAATGTGGTAGGAGCTTTATGGCTTTTTAAAGCATAAAAAGCAATCTGATAAGCTTCTTGATATTTGTACCAAGGCAATGATGGCCATAAATGGTGAATTAGATGATAATTCTGACCTAAAATTAACCAATTCAATATTTTACTTTCATAAATTCTAGCATTTTTCCATCGATTTCGATATAAAAAAGGTTTATGAGGTAAATAGTCAAAAAAAAGACCAAGTAACAATCCAATTACTAAGGCAGGACAAAACCAACAATTTAACAAAAACATAATTAAATGAAAATAGTAGGCCATAATTATTATAAACACAATAAACACCCTATTAATAAGCCATTCGAAAAATTCATTATCTCTCCATAATTTTTTTTGAATAAAATAAATCTCGTGATAAAAAAAACGTGCAGCAATTAACCATAATGGACCGCCTTTGGAAACAAAATGATCGGGATCATTATTAGGATCATTAACATGAGCATGATGTTGTAAATGTACTCTCGTAAAAACAGGAAAAGAAAAACCAAGCATTAGAGCACTTAAATGACCAAGAATTTTATTAAAATTAGCATTGACATGAGCTGTTTTATGAGAAGCTTCATGAATTACTGTGCCAGCTAGATGTAAACTAATAACATTAATAATAAAACAAGCATAAATATTAATTTTAAAATATAAATAAGATACAATAGAACAGAACATGCTCAATATAGCGATAAAAAAAATAAAAAATGTAGGATTGAGAATAGATTTAGGAGGACCTAATAACGAGGAATTTGGATAAGCTATATATTTCATTATTATATAATCTAAAAAAAGAAAAGACAAAATAAACTAACAAAAAATAATTTATAAAAATAAATATCTTTGAAAAAATAAAAGAAATATAGATAAAAGAAATAAAAGCAGAGAAACTGCATTAGATATATAGTTTTGGTATTCCTTATAAGCTTGTTCTAAAAAAAGAGTTAGAGTCTGAGTTTTAGCAATAATATTGCCTGATATCATTAAAAGAGCACCAAATTCACCAATAACTCTTGCATTAGTTAAAACAGCACCAGAAAGAAAACTTCGTTTTATATAGGGAAAAATAACAAGCCAAAAAATTTGCCAAGAATTGGCACCTAAAGTTTTAGCAGCTTCTTCTTCTTGTTGATCAATTTTTGACAAAATAGGAATAATTTGTCTAGGAATTAATGGAAAGGTAATAAATTGAGTAGTTAATAAAATTCCTAACGAATTATAGGTTATTTTAATACCTAAATTCAATAAAAAGGATCCTAAATAAGAATATTTGGAATACAGCAATGTCATCATTAAACCGATTAAAATAGGTGATAAAGTTAAAGGAATATCTAATACAAATAGTAAAATTTCACGTCCCCAGAACTTCTGATGAGTTAAAGTCCAAGCCATCCACAAGCCTACAAGACTATTGAAAGGCACAACAATACAAATCAAAGAAAAAGTTAAACTAAAGGCATGAAATAAATTATAATCAAAATATGTACGAAATAAGGGTAAAATGCCACTGGCTAAAATGTCAGATAATAATGTAAACAAAGGAAGAAAAATAAAAAAATTTAAATAAGTTAAACTAAGAATTAAGATCAAATATTTAATCATAGCTAGATCTATCTAAGAGATTGAGAAGTAACAAAATAAATAAAGAAATAAATAACATAATCGTACCTATCACAGTAGCACTTTGATAATCATATTGTTCTAATTTTTGTGCAATTAATACTGAAACTACAAGGTCTTTGTATGGTAGATTTGATGATATTATAATAATAGAGCCAAATTCTCCAATTGATCTAGCAAATGATAATACAGATCCTGTAATGAGAGATGGTTTGATATAAGGGAAAATAACAAATAAAAAAATTTGCCAAGAATTGGCACCTAAACATATGGCACTTTCTTGAATTTCTTTATTAGAATCTAATTCTAATAATATGGGTTGTAAATTACGAATTATAAATGGCAAAGAAACAAATATCATTACCATAATAATAGCATTGGGAGAATAAATTAATTGCAATTTAAATATTTTAGAAAAAATAGAATCAGCTTGATAAGTTTTATAAAATGCTAAGCCAGCTAATGATGTTGGTAATGCCATTGGAATATCTATTAATATATCAATAAAAGATTTTCCCCAAAAAGAAATATAAGTTAAAACATATGCTATACATGATCCAAAAAATAGGTTTATTAAGGTTGCAATTAATGACAATTTTAAAGTGAGATAATAGGCGGATAGTGCTACTGGGTTAGTAGCAATACTTAAAATCTGATTCAAAGGTAATTTAAATACATTGAGTATCAAATTAAGAATAGGTAAAAACAAAACGGTACTAAAATATATGATCAGTAACAAAGGATTTAAAGTTTTAAAATATCTAAATGGAATCAACATGGACTATATAGTTTTATAGATAATTTACAAGTTATTTATTATATCTGGAAGAAATTTTATTATTAAATAAAGCAAGCATTTCCTTTAGGAAAATTTCAGTAGCTTTAGATTTATAGCGAAATGGATTAATCAAAATTGATAAATTTCTTTTTATTGTTATATTTTCAATCTTTGCCCAGTGAAGTATACCTAATTCTAATTCTTTAGCAATTGCAGAACTTGATACAAATGAAGCTCCAAGACCAGATTGAACAGCATTTTTTATAGCCTCAATTGAATTTAGTTCCATTTCAATTTTAAATTTACTTGTATCAATATAATGTTTTTCTAGTGTTTTATCTATTACTTTTCTAATGGTAGACTGACTATCTAAAGATATAAAACGTAATCTATATAAATCTTCCTTATTAATAGTATCCATTTTTACAAAAGGATGAGACTTAGGTAAAATTAATGCTAATTCATCTTCACCATATGAATAAACTTCTAATGTTGATTTTAGCTCATCTGGGACTTCTCCACCAACAAGAGCTAAGTCAATTTGACCATTAGCAATACTCCAAGCAATTTTACGAGTAGAATGTACTTGCAATTGTAGGGATACTTGTGGATAACGTTGCCTAAAAATTCCTATAAGGCGTGGCATTAAATAAGTTCCTAGTGTTTGACTTGCACCAATAACTAGAGTTCCTGTATGAAGATTCCTTAAATCTTCAACTGCTCTACAAGTTTCTTCACATAAAGATAAAATTTTACTCCCATATGACAAAATTAGTGATCCAGCTTTAGTTAATTTAGTTTGACGTCCTCCTCTATCAAATAAAGAAACATTTAATTGACGTTCTATATTTTGAATGTGTAAACTAACTGCGGGTTGAGAAATATATAAAGTTTCCGCGGCACTTTTAAAACTTCCTTCAGAGACTATTGCCTTTAAAATTTTTAATTGATCTAAAGTAAAAGGTAAGTCTTTCATATTAAGAAAAAATTAATATGGATATAATATATATAATATAATATATATTTATATTATATTTCAATTTTATTAATTTGATTTGAGAAGAATCAATAAGGTATAAATACTATGGATACAAGATTATTAATTGTACTGATTCCGGTTTTAGCTGCTGCTTCTTGGGCTATTTATAATATTGGAAGAATTCTTGTACAACAATTTAAAAAAATAAGTTCTTGAAATTTGAGAAAATAATTTATGGCTGTACCAAAGAAAAAAACCTCTAAGTCTAAAAGCAAATCGCGAAAAGCTAGTTGGAAAAACAAAGCTGCATTTGCAGTAACTAAAGCTTTAACATTAGCTAAATCAGTTTTTAATAAAGAGTCAAAATTTGTTTATAATCATGGAAAAGAAGAAAAACAAGAAAAAATAAGTAATTGATAACCTT